AAATTAATAATAAATTTAAATAAAAAAAGAAATGCTTAAAAAAGGCTGATCAGACATTTGTAATTAATTACATTAATCAACTACAATTAATGTTATAAATCAAATGGTATATGAATAATCAAATGAAGGAACAGTACGATCTATACATTTTCAATTAAGAAAAAAAATCAACCCACTGCCATCCAACCAGTTCCGACCCACAGCAAGTTTCTGTCAGGTCACTTTCCAAGTCTATCAGATCTTTCCAAGGCAGTAACTCTTCAAAGGAGGACACTGATCATCTTTCTCTTTTACAGCATCTTGTAGGTTCGAATCACCCTTTTAGTTAGCAGTGAATACACCAGGGACTACGTCAACACAGCTCCTAATAGACCACAGTCTAGCTTAAACATAACTTCTACATGCACCAAGAAATCAAAGATTCATGTAACTCACTTTACTATGGCAAATGGTTTATTACAGTGGTCTGGAAACAAACCAGCAATACCTCCAAGGTATGCCTATACTGAAACTATGATGGAAACAATATCCTTTGCAAATATTTAAAAGTTCTGATAGACAATTTTCTATTTCAGCATTTAAATAAGTATAAAAGGTTATCTAATTTCTGATGGCACAACAATAAGACAAGCTTAAAAACCACTCATTGTTACAGCCTCCACATAAGGTCCCCTCATGATAGAGCCGCTTCCACCTCTCCCTATCCTATCTTCCAGATGTCAGGCGCCTGGACTTCAGGTCCCTCTGGGCCATGCCTGGCATAAGCTACTCATTCTCCTTGATCACTGTACCCTAACATGCAGGGACTGTGTCTTATTTCTGCCTGGGAGACAGAAGGTGCTGAATGTTTGCTAATCTAGTATCTCTCCCAGATGGAGTGAGGGAAGAGAACAAAAAGAAAGTTCAAGGGGAGCTCTGGTGGCCTAGTGGCAAGGAGCTGCAACTACAATCCCAGAGGCACACGGTTCGAATCCACCAGATGCTCTGCCGGGAAAAGGAGGGACAATCTCCTCCTGTACCAGTCAGATCTGATTTGACGGTACACTCACACAAAAATAATAAAAAACAAAAAAAAAAAGAAAAGTTCAGAAAGCATCTTTCCAGCCCAGTGATGGAAGAGGTGAATTTGGGGGATACTCTGAGCAGATAATTCTTTCAAAGAGCCCCAGGCAATTTCTTTCAGCACTTGTGGGATGCACTCTAAGCCTTTAGAGAGCTCAGCAGGGACACACAGAAAAGATCTTGGAATTGGGTGGGAGGGTAGCATAGGGCAAGGAAGTCTATTCATACTGAAAACTCTATGAAGGTATGTGCAGAATCCTCTCAGTCCTGTGATATCTCCAAGGTACTGACAATGCCAACTACTTGCTACTGACAATAATAATTTAAGTGACTGGTATTTGTGGGCGACCCAGTTTCTAGCAGTTTCAGCACTATATGTACTCTTAAAAAAAAAAAAAGAAAAAACCCAACTTAATGTTACACTGAATTCATTTCCACAAAAAATACAGGGATACGTTATCATCTTTAAATATAATCTGAAAGCCCTAAGACAAACTAGCACAACAGAATGTGACTTGAGGGAGAACTAGTTAATGAACTACTCATTGAGCGAGTGGGTGACACTCTAGCTGAGACTTAGCAGACGACAGGACTCGAGCAAGCATGAAGAGCCAGGAGGCAGTGTCCCAGAGAGAGGGAACAATAAGTGCAAAGGTCCTAAGGCAAGAAGGCAGCAAGATAGGTTGGACCAAAATTAACCAAGGGAATGACTACAGATATGCAGGCAATAGGGGCCAGAATGCACACACTTAACCCATGTTTATTCCTTCCCAGGAGGCTCAGGGCTCTAAAGATCAGAGGGAAAACTGAAAAAAGTAACTGCAGATGCCCCTTGTGGCTGTGTGGAGGCAAAGGACAGGAAGAAGGGGAAGAGCTGAGCAAATAAGCAGATGAAGCAACACAAGGAAAGTGTAGGCTTGTGTTACCGTTAGGACTCAGTGGGAAAGTCAACCAGAAAAGATCAGGAAGCAAGGGGATAAAGGAAACATGGACATTGATTGGCCAAGAGTTTAAACCATGGGAGGAGCTGGGATTAGGCGGGCTGGGCAGGAGCAGGTTCGTCTCTAAATTTTGACTCAGCCCAAAGTTACTCCTTTTCATCCTTTTCCTAGCCCAAGTTTCTTCAATGTGGCATCTACGAGATCTTGGTCAGGTATCTCGGGCTCCCTGACCTCAGGCAAAAAGGTCACTGAAGTTTTATACGGTAATAATAAGGCCAAAACAGAACTAACCATAAATCCAATCCCTACATACTACTGACAGCAAGACCTTCAAACAAGGCCATCAACTACCTAAGCTAATTCTAAGAGGTGCCTCACAAGGTACAGAAATGTGGCCTGGTGTACTGCTGGAATTGGAGATCTGGCAGATCAGAATTTAGACATTCATACCACCCAATAGTTGTATTAGCTTTGTAGAAAGTCACAAGAACAATCTGGGAATTAAATACAATAAAGCAGGTGAGAGTACCTAACACAAAGCAAATACTCAAAATACAGTTTACTCCATTCTCGGCACTGTTGAAAAGGTTCAATTTCAATAGCTCCTCTTCTTTACTGGCTATGTGACTTTGATTAAGGAACTTTCAACTCTGAGCATTAGCTTCTCAGTAAAAGAACGGAGATGGTACCATTATTTTCATATGGATTTTTTAAAATATGGCTTTTGAATGAGTAAAGATGTAACGTGTCAAATACAGCTCCTGAGGCATAGTGATTATTCAATATCTATTATCTACTATACTGGTAAGGAGCCCTGGTGGCATGTTAAGACTGCTAACCTGAAAGGCTGACCAGTGACCTTGTGGGAGAAAAATGGGCAGTCTTCACTCGACAAGATTTACCACCTCAGAAATCAGACAGGATCCCCAGATGGAATCCATTTGACAGCAGTGGTATTGGGGGGTGTTCGTTTGGGGCGTTAAAAAAAATTCTTAGTGGGTGTGACCAAGATGGGAAAAGAGGAGGAAATCTTTGAAAGCAAGCTGAAGCTTCGGGTGCTGGGGAGGCAGGGAATGGTACTTTCAGTCCCTCGGGAACCACTCACCTGGTGGTTCCATATAGAACCCTCTTTGCTGCGTTCGTCAGGGGTCAGTCGCACGTACTGGCTCGTGAGCATAGTACTGCCCTGGAAGTCCCAGAGGGGCATGGAGCTGGAACCGACTCCTGTAGAGAGCCGGGCATAAATAAACGAGTTCAAGAGGCTAGGCCAGGCCACAGAAAGAAAACCCGCTAACCGTGTTCCGCCTTGCCCTCTCCTTTACTCATTCCCGCTCCGGGCCTCACCTAGGTAAGGTTTGATGAGAGAATGCTCCCGCTTGAGGTGTTCACTACTACCATCAGTTATATCTGAAGCTACTGGCCCCAACAGCAGAAGAAGAACAAGAAGTACAGGTGTGGTGGGGCCAGGGCCGGGGCCGGGAAGCCTAGGCCTCCCCAAGCACCGCCGGCCCCAGCCCCAGAGCCAAATCCAGCCTTCCGCCGCCATTCTCTTCTTCTCCCGGCCACTTCCGCCCTAGCATTTCCGCCTTCCGGTGTCCTACTTAATGGACTCCGGCCGGAAGCACAAATAACTTTTTTTTTTTTTTTTTTACAAATAACTTTTTAACTCTCCATTGAATTAAAAAGCAAGACCTCGTAGCGAGGGGGCGGCGGCTCTTAATAGTTGAGCAACCTCCCATCCTGATCAAGCGGGGTTCCATTTCCCCGGCGGTTTAGAAGCATCATTTTCCCTAGCCTCTTCAGTGGGTTTTTATGAACGACAAGAACCTCAACCAATCAGGAAAGAGCACGTTAGGCTCGTGAGCCAATGGATTGCCGAAAGAGCCGTTAAGGCCTCAGGCCGCCGCAGCGACGTTTGAGAAGTGGGGCATGCTGAAGCTAGTAGTTGTAGTGTCACTGACGTATACAAAGGAATTTGGTTGTCTAGATTATAACAAATTATGGCTAACATTAAGAAGACTGGGAATCCCAGAACATTTAATTATGCTCATGCAAAACGTGTACTTAGACTATGAAGCTGTTGTCCAAACAGAGTAAGGGAACACTTTTTGTTGATTGCGGTTGAGTCAAGCACAATTCATAGTGACCCTATGAACAAAATACCTGAAGTCTTTCTATAATTATCGTCGTTTCTCAAAGTTCATAGAGTTTCCAGAAGCATGTTGTTTAGAAAATGATTCCACTTGATTATAATCAAGATAGCAGTGCTTTAGGACTGTATCCATTCTCCATACCTGAACACTAAGCAAATCATTAGAGAAACTGGACTTTATTAAGAAGAATGTGTGTACACCCATGTTTACCGCAGCTTTGTTCACAATAACAAAGAGGTGGAAACAACCTAACTGCCCATCAACAAACGAATGGATAAAGAAGCTCTGGTATATTCACACAATAGAATACTACGCCGCATTGAAAAACAAGGAAGTCATGAAATATTATTGAAAATGGGTGACCCTGGAGGACATTATGCTGAGTAAAATATCTCAGTCACAAAAGGACAAATACTGCATAGTGCCACTGTTGTAAAACGGGACTGACATCGGGGTTGGGGGGAGACTGAGAAAGGGGATAAATTATGTATACTGCATTGAAACAGATGAGGGAGAGAACTGTTTAAAAGGGATATATGATTAGGAATTATTGTCATGACATGAGTCCAGAACGAAGGCTGCGCAGTGAAGTGGACTTGGGGGGGAGGAATTGCATAACAACGAAAGAATTTTTCTTTTACTTTTCAGAGAGAACAGTGAATTGGAGGGAGAGGTGGGCAGGGAGAAAAAGTGCAACAATGAATGAATGGAAACCCTAAGTCTGTAAATTTTCATTAAAATTAATAATAATTTTTTTAAAATTAAAAAAAGAAGAATGTGGCATCAGGATAGGAGGAAGACTCCTCAATAGCCTGAATTAGGAACAATTTTATTTTTTTTTATGTAAGTGAGAGCTAAATCTTGCAGCAGAAGATCAAAGTATCAATTGCATCTGAACATTAAGAAAATAAAAATCCTCACAATGGACCAATAGACAATTGTATGACAGATGGAGAAAAGATAGAAAATGTCACTGATTCACTTTTGATTCACAATCATCACTCTCTCTTTTTTTTCCTTGTGGCCCATCCTTCTCCAGTGGAGCTTCTGGTGGATTTAAGACCATCATCATGCTTGGTGTCAGCAGTCAAAAATCAAAAGATGTATAGCATTAGGAAAATCTGCTTTCAAGAACCTCTCCAAATTGGTAAAGAGCAATGATGTCCACGTTTTGTTTGGTTTAGTTTTTTGTTGATGTCAGTTCTAACACTAAGGTCTACCTAATCCAAGCCATAGTCTTTCCTATTATTTGCTATGCTTCTGAAAGTTGGACAGTGGATAAGGATGAAAGAAAAAAAAATAGATGCCTTTGAGTTATGATGTTAGAGAAGAGTACTGAATATATCAGGGACTGGCAAAAGAACAAACATGTCTTGGAGAAAGTGAAACCAGAGTGTTCCTTAGAGGGAAGGACAAGCAAACCTGGTCCCACATATTTTGGATATGTTGTCAAGAGGGGCCAGTCCTTAGAAAAAAGGACATCATGCTCAGCAATGTGGAGGGTTCATAAAAGAGGAATTTGGATTGATACAGTGACAATAACAATGGTCTCAAGACTATCAGAGATGATGAGGATGGCACTAGATAGGTCAGGGTTCAAATTGTTCATAGGATTACTATGGATTGTAGTCTACTCACAGCATAGGAGCATAATAGTAGCATGGCTAGAAGAGTGAACATTACAACACTCTTGGTATCTGGCCTGTGACCTGGTCTCTTGAACTGCCTTTTCCAGTTGTGTGAGCAAGGGTAGAAAAGATCTCTAAACTGAAGGCAGAAGCTTGAATTCTTATTTCTATAAAACCTTGGGATTTTTCTTACTGGTCCTGGGTAAGCCTTTTTTGAGATGTCTAGCTTCACCTTCCCTAGCTTGACACTTTGTATGAGGGCATCCACTACTTCCAACTCCTCAGGCCTTGTCTAGTTGAAACAGGAGGAGATGACACAAATAAGATTTGAGATCCTAATAACCAGTGGGCTCCGCCCAACAAGAACTGTCTCTGGAAAGCTGGCTGTGGCCTAGAGGCAAAAACTACTGGCCTTGCCATGAAGAAGATATGGGTGGTTTTTTTTTTTCTGCTAATGATATTTAAGTAAGTCAGTCCTTGGAGAGAGACGTCATGTTTGGAAGGGTGGAGGGACAGCGCAGGAGAAGAAAACCCTCGATGAGATGAATTGACTCAGTGACTAGGGTAATGGGGATAGGTGTGCCAGAGATTGGCACAGGATAGAGCAGGGTTTAGAGCTGTTGTAGGTCGCTATGAGTCACAGACAACTCAACAGCACATAACAAGAACAACAATTGAAACACCATTATTTTTCAATCAGTATATTTACATTAACAATATTACTACATGAAAGTTTAAATTCGGAGACAATTAATGTGTGTAAACAGAGCAATCTGAAAACAGCCTTGACTTTAAAGTTTTGATATGAGACCAGAATCCATCTTAGATTCTTTAAAAGCTGTCTTTTCTAATATTAGTTCCTTAAACCTTGATGCTGACCTAAGTCTATATCTTAAGACAGATAGATAATTCTTTACTCAGAGATCAGGAAAACTATCACAATCTGTTTTGAAGGGAGCTCTAGTGGCCTATTGGCAAGAAGCTGCGCTGCAATCCCGAAGGCATGCAGTTCGAATCCACCAAATGTCTGCTGGAGAAAGAGGGGTATTCTCCTCTTCCAAATTGGATCCAACTGGAAAGTATACAACAAAACAAAACAAAACAGCTCACAATCTGTTTTCAAACGGTCTTTCTCCTATAGTCAAATCATTGTAAGATGTGATCGCTCATGCTTGAAGGGTATTGATGCACAGTGTTATCACTAAATCTTTATCATGACCTCCCTCTAAATAGATGTGATTGAGGAAGTAACTTTTATAACAAGTTACCTGAAAAATTTGTCCTACCACCCTCCTGTGATAGGTTGGGTAGCATGTACCTTTAACCATAATATAATCTCACTTATGTGTTATCCATCTATCCCTGCCAAATTTCTGCTTCTAGGTAGACCACTGTTGATTCCCTTGATGGTCTTTCAGCCAGTTCTACACTTTGTAACTTTCTGTTCCCTCTTTAACTGTGTAAAAATGTGTTTTTCTCCCCATTGTTCAAGCAAGCAATGATATTTACTCAGAATAAGGATGTCTTCCTGGTCAGGACTGCTTCTATCCCTCAGGAAACTTCTTTGCTATTACTTTAAGCTAACTGTGATGTTACTCTATGACAATTACAAATCCAAAATTCTTGTTTCTTAAGAAAAATAATTATTGTTGTTGATAAGTGCTGTCAAGAAATCTACTTCAACTCATAGAAACTATATAAACAACAGGTCTGAAGTGTGCCTTCTCCTACACC